TTTTTTTTTTTTTTTTAAAACCGGGTATTAAAAAACGGTACAAAAAAACCACAAAAATAATCTATAAATTATTGGCCCTTTTTTTAATCGCGCCCCCCCCCCCCCCCCATATCCCCATGAGAAAAGTTCTTTTTTGTTTCACTTTTCAAGCATTAGTCAATGACAAACAGGTTTTATCTATTAGTGTTTTATGAGTAAAATACTTGACACATTCATTTACAGATGTTCTACACAATTTATTAATGTTTACCTGACGGCGAATTTGTCTAATAACAGAAAATGTTACCACAACATGTAATAGCAGAAAACGCGAAATAAGTATAAATTTTGAAAATTGCTCTTAGCTATCTGTCACTTTGGAGAACAGTAAAGCAAAAATGAAAATATTAGAAATAAATTCTTGTTTTTAAGAATTAGAATAAAAGTAATTTCTCTTTTCGTACTGTATATCCATTACTAATCGGATCATCAAGAGATTTTAAAAGACCAAAATAAATGAAAAAGTTAAGCTGTATTTTTTACATCACAATATTTATTACATACAGAAATTTAAACAAGAAAAAGGTATTGAGTGCTTAATTGTATACATTGAATATATTTTCTTTATATGCTCTGTCCATAAAAAATTATAAACTTCTTTTCTTTTGGCTTTGGTTACTTTTCTATGATCCATAATCACTTAATGTCAAGTTAATATATTTCAAGTGTCAAGAGAGAGTTTACTTTGACTAGATTTATAAAAATTGTATCAGGTTGATTGAATTAATCCGGTATCGTTCAATAAAAACTTTCGACAGGCCAACTAGAGAATTTATATTGCTTTGGTAATGGTGCAATATTTTTCGCTCTATTTGAACCATATATTTCAATCGATTGGTGAGGTAAACAACGCCAACCAATTTTATCGTTTTCTGTTTCTGGAAATGCACCCGCTTTTCTTCGACGTCGTTCGCCTGGACGACGTTTTTCTAGTGGAGGCAAGACGTTTCCCTCCTGTTTCCATTCTGGTCGATGCAAAGAAATAACTTGGGGCTCAACGAAAACATTACGATTACGAGCCATGTTTTCATACATCTTTAACGAAAGAAAAAAAATAATTGTTTTATTTTTATTCTAAAACTATATTTATTACTTTTTGATACTCTTCCGATAGCCAAGGATTAAATTTTTCTGCCCAAAGTCGTCGTGATTCAGCTTCTTTATTGATTATCTCTCGTCTATTTTAAAAAAGAATAGAGAACAATTTGATTTAAGTGAACAAATTGAAGAAGAATATACCTAAATGTATCAATTCCATTGTGATTTATAAATTGTACTGTTGTTTTTGGACGATTAATATTTTCATTTGCATCAATACTTTTAGTTAAACTTGTAGATATACGTGATCGTACGTCATTGGAAAGAACTTGAAAATAGATCTCATACCATTTTATTTATTCATCAATGAAATTTTGTATTTTTTACTCACCCCGATGTGCACTATTTATCAACATTTTTCGATATTATGATTAGTTGATATTAAAATATAATCACTATTTGATTCTAAAAAAAAAAATGAAATTTTTTCTTGTCATTTGCAATTATCTTTTAATTTTTATTACACAAGAGATTCTATAATCTCGCTGAAAAATTAGTTTCCTGATTTGATTATAATTTTCTACTACTTTTGAAAATAACTATAAATTCTTACTCCACCTTTTCTCTCTTGCTCTCTCTTCTTCTTTTTTTTTTTCTTCAAAATGTGAAAATGATCTTTATTATCAGCAGATTGTTTTCAAGGATAAATACATTTGTAAAATGATCGACATATGCGTTTTAATATAACTTACCTTCAGCTATAATAATAGTTGAGACAGAAAATAGATGTGGGGAACTACGGCTTTATTCACAAGAATAAATTTTTCGAAACAATAAGTTTTTATTCTTTGTCATTAACGATAACTAAAAACGGGCTTCTATTTTTTTGTTTTTATGAATATTAGCGTTAAAAGAAAAAAAAGACTATAATTATTTAAAGCAAGACATCTTGTCAGGTGATTCTTGACTTCTTAACGGAAAGAAAAAGAACTACATGGTATCCTCAAACAGAAAAGAAAAATGTTTTACTCATTTATTATTTAACTTTGTTTGTTAACAATGTTGAATTTATTCGGTTATTTTTAATCATAAAAATTTTTTTTATTACACTGTTAAAAGGATTGACAATTCGACATGATTATCAATATTTTTTTTTAAAAATTAAAATTATTCTTACATCCACTAAACTTTCCCTCTTATGATGTTGACATCATGTTGAGAATATGTTTTCTTTTTCTATAGAGTTTTAATGCAACATAACCACATAATCGAAAAAAACTCCTCATTTCACTTCTGAACAGTAGGATCTCTCGATATCTTGTGGTTCAAGTATAAATTATCTACTCAAAATTATTTCTTGCTCAAGATCCTAAAGATTGTAATAATTTCTAACAGTCTGACACTTTCCCGTGTCAGACTGTTAGAAATTATTACAATCTTCTAGAAATTCTAGAAACAAATTTATTACAATCTTTCCAGGTCTAGTACCAGGATTTTATCCGACTTTAGCTGAAAAAATCTACTTAGATCTAGAATAAAATAATGAGAAAGAGAAGAACGATCGGAATAGAATCTGTTTGAATGTGAACATTTCTTTTTGAGAAAAGTATGTTTTATCAATTACGAATGATCAATAGAATTAACAACACAATTAGGATTCTTAGTTGACTTACTATACGCCTGTAAGAGCTCTCATTTATCCCGTATAAAAGTTATGAGAAACATGGCTGCCTCCGAATCGCAAGTTGTGAATTTTATGTTTTGGAGGGTCTTCTGAACGCTTATTTACGCGCACCACACATCAACTTTTTGAAATACGTCTGTCCTGGGTAACGTTCGATTAGCAGTGCAAAAATCTTGAGATTTTTCGACTTTGATCGAGAGATTGCTTTTGTACTGCTATTAAGAAACTCTCGTACTATGCTGTCTCGTTTCATTTTTGACTCTAATCCAATCTTAATTTGCGCATACTATTTCATGGAATAACAGAATTTTAATCTAAACAAGTTGATTGAGTAATACACACAAATAAGCATTCACAAGACCCTCCAAAATATAAAACTTCATAACTCGAGATTCGCAGACGACTGTGTTCCTCAAAACCTTTATAAATGGGAACTTCTACGGGCGCATAATGAGTTAACTATTGTACAAGTAATAAATACAACTCTTCCACATTAATTTCTGTCACATCTTTTGCCTCATCTTTGTGTAGTTGATTTAAACATGTTTATTAGTCGATCCATTGCCAAATGCCATTGTGAGACAGCGATTTATACGTAAAGGGAATGAAGTACATATAAATCGTTGTCCCACACCGTAAATAACAAGTGAATAAGAGAAGTGGCAATAAAAAATAAGAAAGAGAGGAAAACATACAAAAAACAAAAGAAAAAAAGCCCGTACATATTCAAATAAAGTAATTATGTATATATGGAGAAGAAAAATGTGAGTCCGCGTAGAAGAAGAGATAGAGAACTGCGCTGAGCAAAAATCATGTGTAGTTTTTAAGTAATAAAATGTATCATACGTGTTGACATCTTCTCCGTGTATCTTCTGATAATAATATCCGGTGAATATGGATCAAAACTAAAAAAGAATGTCAGTAACGAGCTATATAAGAGTACATCGCAGCAGAAAATCCTTTTACAAACATATTCTGGGTCCTCGATGGTAGTTTAATTTGCTTGTACGATGAGTTATGAAACAAAGTGTCTGAGGTGTATACATTGTCCAATTCATTAGCATTTGACCGTTCAATGTACAGTTACTCACAAAATCTTGAAGTATCACGCATCAGAATTAGGGATGTTCGGTTCTCGGTTGTCGTTAAGAACCGGAACCGCGGTCCTCTTATTTTTGGTTCTTCATCCGGAACCGGAACCGTGGTTTTGTAGACAGTTCCTTTTATCAAGATTTTTTTAACTATAGATACTACAGTTTTATTTCGAGAAAGCTATATTTAGCATTCATAAGGTATACTTGTGCGCAACTTCTTTTATATGGGACCTTCTATACCTGGCAAATCCATAGACTCTTCTTAGATAAGAGATGAAGCCAATATTATTATGTCGTTATACTGGCCATAACAGTACGAAAAAAGTTATCCTTTCTCAAGATTTTGTTTCGTTCATAAGATATTGCATTTTTCGTACATCTATCGGATTTCGTCTAAAATGACGCCCTAAAAAGTCCTGCAAAGATCTTGAAAATATTTGTGTTAAATTCTACTATAGAAGAAAATTGTCCTTGTATCCATAATCTTTTGTCTTGCCTTTCTTTTAACAAAATGAAAATGACACTATTGACAAAGCTGCAAAAAGATATATTTGCCTGCCATTATTTAAAAGAATCCTTTGGTTTACTATAAAATGAATTTTATTTTGTTAAATTGTTACTGCCTGAAAAATTTTTCTTCCGTTCTAAACTGAGAACCGCGGATTTTGTTCTAAGTCGGGAACCGGAACCGCGGTTCTTCTCCTTTAGGTTCTAAGTCGAGAACTAGAACCGCCATTTCGGTTCCAGAACCGAAAATTCCTAATCAGAATAGATCATACGAAAAGGCATGTAATCCAAGGGACCATGCAGCATTAGAAAAAATTATATCAACGGTTTGATTTTGATTTTTCTTGTCAACGATAATACGTAGGACAAGTCTGAAAAAAGATTAGAATAACTGAAAGATTTTCAATCTGGTGTAAGGTGTATAAAGATTTCATCGGCTCTTCTGGAATCAGGATTTCTGGAATACCTACATAGAAAATCGAATCTCCGAAGGTGATCGAGACACATTTTGTTAACAATGCTATCGTGTAAAGCAAACATTTCTGAATAAAATGAGACGTTTCCGAGGACTCTCCGGCATTCTTGCATGAAACAGCAGCCAACTTAGGGCAAACGATCCAAGGGGCATTTTTTGCTGTTTTCTGTTCTTTGCCTATCGACTTTGGTGATACTGACAGTTTGAGTCGTTTACACTAAGTTGAATGCTGTTTTATGAAAAAATGTCGTAGGATGCTCGGAAACGTCTCATTTTGTTCAGAAATGTTTTCTTTATACGATCTTTTTCAAATCTTTTTCAGACTTGTCCTAGGTATTATGGTGAACGAGAAAAATCAAATGCAAAGCGTTGCTATAATTTTCTTCAGCACTGTATGTTGTTAGGAGTGCATCAACTTGCCAAGTATGTAACCATGATCACGAATATCATTTAAATATCGTTAAAATGTAGCACGTATAGATACGTTTTATAACAACTAATTCATACGCACCAATATACACATTCTCGTATGCCACTTTCGTATTGTTACTTGCTGCATCCAGTGAACAAATTGAAAAATGCCTTAAAAGCGACCTTGAATACATATAGATGCTGAAATGATTTGAAACATGCGATTATTCTATCTTCGAAATAGTTTCATGAATGAGCATATTTCATTGAGAAGTTGTCATAAACAAAAATAATCATTGATTAAGGCAGTTTTGATAATAAAACAGTAATAAATTAAAAAGAACACGCTCATTTAGTACGTTACAACTTTCAAATAAGCTGAAACAAAAATAAAACTCATTATGTTAACTAAACAAAAGAAATTATCTGTTACCACAATATTATTCAGATGCATTCGTCAAACATTTAAATTATGAAATATAGACAAAAATAAGAGGAAACTTTCAATTTATGTTGTCCATAGAGGCATAACTCGACTTTCAGAGCGAAAGAGCAACAAATTTTCTGTTCGGCTGCATTATCTCTTTTTTTTTAGAAAAAATAAAACCATTTTGATGGCAGAAAACAATTACTTTCAGAAGCAGGGAAGACCCAGTGTTCTCTGTCTTAAGACGCCGTTTGTTGTCTACAACTATAGATATATAATCTGTTAAAAAAGTGATCATCCTTTAGAAAGATAGCAAACGATGTTATTCTTTATCGTCAAAACTATAGATATCAGACAATGGCTCCTTTAGATCTCAGAATATGTATCTGTAAAATTGTCGTTAGAGTGATTAAACTCTTTTTTTCTTATCTAGACTTCTAATACACGAATGATATCTACATTTATAACAATCGATCTATCCAATATTTCATCACCAACGAGTACAGAGAAATCGATCCCATGATATATTAAGAAAGATCTTCATCTTTGACAAATGTATTGTTATAAAAATCAATAGAAAATGATTATATTTCTGCAACATACGACTAAACAATTTCAAACTTTGCATTTTAAAGAGACGTAAAAGAATTGTTACCACGATAGAATTCTTTTCTTAAACCGTCTCGAATATTTTGACGTTCTTAGCAAACAGAGTCATTTTTGCCGTTCTGAGATTGAAAAGGAATCTGATGAATATCATACCTTTTAAAAAAAAGTGATCATCAAACAGGTTATCATTACGTTTTACAGTAGCATCA